TTATTTTTCTAGGTCTTCCTACGGACTACCCTACGGCGTCTTACTCCTCCTTTCCCCCTCGAACTATTAAATACCCTTCAGTTGTCTCGGACCACCTTCACCCATATCACGGGGTTTAGGTTTATTTCTTTTGGTCCTTGGTGATTGTTATGTGTCAGTGCATATCAACGGATCGCGAGTGCACACGAGAGACGCTGGGAGAGGCATTACAGATTTATGACTGAGTCTGTAGACCATTCGCTCACAGTGTTTGGAACAGTTCCAGACAGTGTGGTCTCATGTATGAGCTCAATTGGCCAGGATTCTCAGACAGCGACGTCACACAAGGAGGTGGTAATGAGGATATGTGCATTGACATTACTACCCTACGACGGTTAGGGGAGGCCATAGCAGAGGTACAGCGTTGGACCTGCCTTACCACAATCGATGAGGATAGGATGCGAGCCATAGCGATGCTTGAGAGGGATGCTAAAAAGAAGCAATCTGGCGGGATGTAGCCTACCCTTGCACTAGAGTAGTGTTCTATGTTCAACTCGAATGAAATCTCTTCTGAGTCCGAGACTCAAATTATCTTTTGATATGCGCTTAGCTGTCCATCTGGAGGGAGGAATGCTCAGTGATTGTTACACGGTATCCAGTGCCTCACTGACTTGTCAGTAGAGGGCCATTGCTATGCATGGCAGGACACGAGTCCTGAGTTGTGTCTGATAAGTGTTAGCATTGGGTGTATAAATGTTCCAATTGATGTATACAGTACTCTTTCTTATGCACATATTGAAATCCCTTAGATCTGTATCTGCAATGTCCCCTTCATTCATACTTTCAAGTTGTCCTCCTGTGGCTCTGCCATCATTGTACCATAAAAGTCCCTGCCTCTGACAGATTGAAAGTTGGTCTGTATTGGTGGCTACAAAAAGACTACAAAATTGTATTTGTACCCAGCCCAAGGGACAGTAGCAGCTTCACTACTAGACACAAATAACATAGATCAAAGTGTTCCTCTGCTGCCAATCAAAGATTGGCAGCTCTGTGACACAGGTCTTTTGTCCCCAGTGGAAGAGATAGTCAATAATACCTGCAGACTCCAGGTAACATCCTACCAGAACCAGAGTGCTCATCCACTGCCAATCTTCGATTGCATTCATTTTCCCAAACCAAGCTGAAGGACAGTCATCAGAAAGGGTACTCAAACAGTACTCCAAGCAGCTGGGAGCAGAAATGAAATATATATTACACATGTACTAGCTTCAACTTCTCAAGGGGGCATATAGATACCACTGAGTGGAAGATATCAGGGTTCCAGAGGCAGCAGAGATTGAGAAACACAGGCCCAAGACGCCTGTGACTGAAGAAATTGTATCATAGTCCCTGCCACCCACACATAGACTCAGATTATGCGTGTGAAAAACAATCCATCAAACTATTCAGCAGTCAGCCTATTATTTCAGAACACAAGTGCAACATTCAAGAACCTCTTATAGCCAACATAAGATCAATGTGTATGTACCAGTAATGATTGGATTAAAAGGAAGCACAGCCCACCAAGTTGACATGCTTCAACTGCTGCAAGTACTATACTATACTAGACTAATGAGTGAGTGGGCAACTATGACATCTCTCAATTACAGAAATGCGCTTTCTGCAGTCAAGCTATGTCATAGTAAGCAGGAGCCAATGAGAAGCCAGAGATCCCAATCGGCGCGGCACCTCAGCCACCGACTACAAACAGCCACAGAAGTCAATTCCCACGGTAACAACATGCCACGCACGACCAAGAGCATGCAGTCAAGGAAGGAGACATGATTAAATGCTCAAAATATTTCAGTAGACAGATAACCCAAAAAAACCTCTTCGTAGAAGAAACTACGGAAATACATGAACAACTCAAGACAAAAACACAGTGTGATTACAAAAAGACACTACAAATCCGATTTTGTAGTCTTTTCTAGTCTCCAATACAAGCGGAAATTGAATGGTGTATTCAAGACTACTGCACAAAAGTTGCATGCATTCTCGGCAACACTGATTCCCACGGGTACAATGTTTGGCACACACCCAATTTTGCAGGTAAGGACTCATCTTTTGTAAACTCAGGACTTGTAATCACAGCCAATCACAATCGATCAATCATAATCCCTACTGCACAGACATATAGCGTGTGAAAATCAACCACCGAAATACAAAATTCACATGGTAACAAATAATCTAATCATCGAAATAACAAGCAACCACGATACTTGCTGAAACAAAACAGTACAACACACCCAAAAAAAGAAAAACAAAACAAAACAACTACACATAAACATGCATCCAACACAAAGCACCGAACAATAAGTCTAACATAGCAAAGCACAAAGGTAACACCCGACGCCCAACAATGACATAGCGCGACCGCTATTCTGAATACACGCACTCAAGTTGCGTCATAAGTAGACAGCAGCCAATCACAGCCATCGAATCCCAACCGGTATGCCTCAGCCACCGACTACAAACCGCCACAAAAGTCAATTCCCACGGTAAGAACATGCCACAGACGACAACGAGCATGCAGTAAAAGACGGAGGTACGATAAAATGTTCAAAATATTCCAGTGGATGGACTACCCAAAAACACCTCTTCGCAGAAGAAACCACGGAAATACACGGAAAACCCAGGACGAAAACACAGTATTATTGAAAACAGAGACTACAAATCCGATTTTGTGATCTTTTTGTAGTCTCCAATACAAGCGGACTTTAAAACGAACATTAAACAGTGTAGTCAAGACTACCACCAAAAAGTCGCACACATTCTCGGCATTGCAATTCCCACGGGGTACAACGTTCGGCACGCACCCAATTTTGCGGGTAAGGACTCATCCTTCGTAAACTCAGGACTCGTAATCCTGATGCATTTGAACAAGGCCCTTACCACGGTAAAGTCAGGCAAATCCAACCTACCACTATGATTAGCACCACGACAGGGCTGAACAAAGGCGGAAATCAAGGCCCCAAGGCCAGCTCGAGATGAGGGTAAGCCTCGCCGAGTGTCATACACTGCACTGGTAGCCCGTGCGTGACAATAAACCACTGAACATGACAACTCCAGCAACAGGTTTATGATTCGTCCAGACGCGTATCGCGGATTATATCCTTCCAGTCGTCCAGCATCTCCTGCATCACTTCACTTTTATTCCTAATTGCCTGCTCCGCTTCCATACCCAGTGGTAGAATTGTCGGCCACCGCTTCCCCCTGGCGCGTCCTTGGCCTTGCACGACGTCGACAACCACATCCATAGCCTTTACAGGATCGCCAGGCTGATGGCCATCGGCTTTCGTGTACAATCCCTCAGCGTGCTCCCGAAGAGCATCGTAGTCCGCGATTTTGTTGCCTTCGTAGAAAGGGCGAGAAAATATGTTTTTCGTTCGGAAAGCTCCTGGCTCGACGACTAACACTCGGATATTGAACTCTTTGAGCTCCACGGATAATGTCTCCCCAAGGACTGCAACCCGGTAGGAGATCGGTCTCGTTACTTGTTAATAACGCGGCCTTGGTACAGCGGCTTACCTCGGACTGCAGCCTTCGAAGCGGAGTAGAAGCCTTCGACCTATCAGAATAGAAGAATTGAGTGACGCTACAGAGAACGCACCTGAGCTCTGGTTCAGAAGAGATATTCCTACATCAATACACCTAACCTATCCCGGATGACATAGCCACGCACTGGAATATCCGCCTTCCAGCTGGAACGGCTGCCTAGCAGCACAACAGTACCCGATCTCCTCTCGCGCATATAGGGCAGCACCGCCGAAGTGACGTCCAGAACACCGAACACGTTGGTCTCGAACTGTTCACGACATTGCTGGGACCTAAAACAGATGGCGGGGCGTATTTACTTAGCCGCTGACTCGAGGGTGCGAGTAGAATCACTGGTACTTGCCCGCCTTCTTCCAAGAGCGATCTCACGGCGATCCCTGCGTTATTGACCACAACATCTATGCGTCCGAACTGCTGGACAGCCTCGGCGACTTTCTCCTTCATCTTCTCGAAGCCATCGGTGACGTCTAGCTGCATCAGCCGGATGTTCTCAGACTTGGGAAAGTCTTGTATCGTATGCAGAAAACGAGCAGTCGCGATGACCTTATCTCCCCGTGCCAGGACCGACCTTACGAGGCAGTTTCCCATTCCACTGGATGTACCTGTGGGTGCAGGAGTGAGATGGAACACGGAAATCAGAAGGCCAAATCAAACCTGTGATGAACCAGACCAAGGTGGAGGAAGACTCCGTTGTGACAGACATAGTTAATGCGCGAGGTCTGCTGAGAATTCGAAGAGACAGGACAGGCTATAATGCGGCAGGGCAGGCACTCGAAGGTGCTTTGTGGGTGGAGTCACTTCGGTGTTGGCGTGCATAACGGCCGTAGGGTGCGATATTACCCGCTCGGCGATAACTTTCTGTCCGGAGGTAACCCGGCCTCCCTCGATGATGCTGGATCCTGCATCCGAAAGCCGGGTATTGATGACAGCGACAGAGTCGCTCGAGCATCAGAAAGGCGGCGTATCGGGCACCTCAGTGTGGCACCCTAGTGGGCGTCCGTGGTGAACAGAAATAATATCCTCAACGGTGATCCTCAAACACCACGGAATTCCGGGGATATCCCTTGTGTACGAACATCGATATCGAAACTAGGAAATCGCATATCAGATTTTCCGGACGAACCTTCGCATGACTGACAACGTTGGACCTACTCACTCGCAACGTGATACCGGGGGACTCCGAGTGTAGGTCCCCCTCTACGTACCGCCGCAGCTCAGGATACAAGCTCTGATCATGATATCCCTTCTGCCCGAGTCAGTCGTTAGCTTCTCTGTCACGATGCCAGACTCCGAAATGGCGTCTACTGCTCAGCTGTGAAAGTCAAGGTTAGGTTCGGTCGCCTCGACGGACTGTGGGATCTTGGCTCGATAAATAGACCCGTAGGGCTGCGCTGCCCTCGATCGTGACATTCTGTCACACACCGTATTCACTGTTCAGCGCCAGAGATTATATTGAGCAAGGAGTAAGGTTGAGTAGTGCGTGTCTAGAGGAACGATGCATGGCAGACAAATGAGTACACATGAAAATGATATGATACACAATTCCCTTCAGTAAGGGGAAATCCTCCACCTCAAGTCTCCTTCCAAGGATAGTCGAATTTGGGCTGGTCCTTCCTCCTCCACAGCTTCTTCCTGCAAACAACCCCATCAGTCCTAGTTCCCCTAACATCCAAGACCAAAAACTCACTTCTTCTTCGTAGGCACATGCTCCGCAAACACCTCCACGCAATACTTCGCCTTAAACTCCCTAATAAACCGCGGGTCCCACAGCTCGCTGGCCACGCCCAGATCCTTACAACAGCGCATCAGCGCGTTGCTCTTCGCCGCTTCCGTAGCGGTCGGCACGCCGCCGACCGCGTCGAAGTACTCCTGCTCGCCGCGCGCGACAGCCACGAGACGGCCGAGGCACACCAGCGCGTACTCGCGCGAGACGATCTTGGGCGAGACGTGCGTCTCGGAGCGCGGGGCGAGGCCCCACCCGCCCGGGCCGAAGGCGCGGTTGAGGATGCGGCGGTACTTGATTTCGGGGAGGTAGAGCAGGCCGTCTGTGAGGCAAGGGAGGGGTTAGCATATTGGAGGAGGAGGTGAGGGACGGAGGACGCACCGGGTTTGATTTCGATGTCGAGGGGATCGATGGGTGCCATGAGAATGTCGGCGGCTTCCTTTGGGAAAGGCTGCACGGAGAGGCCATGGTAGCTGCGCGACCAGTCGGTCGTGCTTGCGTCTCCACCGCCGATGTCCAAACCAAAGGGTGTCGTGGGAGGTTCCGCTACCATGATATATTACATTGTCATTGGCATCGCTCTTGAGATGCAAAACATGGAGGCCCACCTCCCCCAGGCGCGTTGTTCGCACTGGCAGTCGCGCTCGTGCTCCCATTCAATATCGACGAGGACGGAACGCTCTCGGGCGGCAGAGTGCTAGCAAGCGCCTCCGCCTCAATGTCAATATTCGCGTCCTTTTCTGAGGTCGGGAGAGTGTCAACAATGCTGGGGTTCCCCCGCCCAGGCTGGGACGTGCTAGCGTTGACGCGGGGTGTTTTGGGCGTCGGCGTCGGTGCGGGTTTCGGTGTCCGACGGTAGGCGTAAGACGAGGAAGCAGTGGTGACTGTCCTCCGAGACACAGAGGACACTGAGGAACGGAGGGGCCGCAGGGCAAGCATGGCGGCAGAAAGAGAGTGGGGACTGGGAGGAGACGCGGTAAATCGACGGGCCACGTGCGAGCGACGCGACTTGTCTTGTTGCTGCTTGAAGCTGCCCTCTTCGTCTCCCTACGTGAGTATGCAATTCATGTCGCTGTTTCGATATTCCTGAAGACCTGACAGGAAAAGTGCCTGCGGACAAGCTATCGTATCTTTTGCAATTGATAGTGATTGATTAGTCTGATGTACTAGCCAAAGCCACGGAAAGCAGGACATTGACTGTACAAAGCCCGACTGTTGCTCCGCGTGCGTGACTCTCCTTCTTACCCAAGTCTCCTTCTTACTTATTCGTCTCAATGTTCCAGTGTTGTGCTCCACGATGAGCTCCCACACGCGCCCGCCGTCCAGCGCGTCTACCTCCCACCCAAGCCCCATCCCACGCCCCCCATCCAGTGCCTCCTCCATCCGACCGCCCTCCAGCGTCTTCGCACTGCGCCCTGCTTCCTCTGCATCTGCCCACCGACCCGTGTCTTCCGCCTCGCACCGCCCACCAACCTCCGCCTCCTCCCGCCGGCCGCTCTCAAGCCTCTCCACGCGCCCGCACTCGCGCTACGGCCAGCGCGCAAAGCAGTCGAAACTCCTCCCCTCCTGCCAGGCGCTTGTCACGCACCTCACCGGGCTGACGTCCGAGAGCGAGGACCCGGCGTTCAAGGCGGACGTCGATTATGTGTTAAAGAGCGTCGACCCCAGCTCGGCGACGAACCGCGCCGGCCCGAGCCTCGATCTGAAGACGGTGGAGGGACATATACGCGGGTACGGTACGGTCCTTGCCTTGTCTGCTCCGGCGTTTCGTTGACATTCACTCTCGTTTGCATGTTCCCCTTATCTGATTAGACATGTAACGAAGGCGCGGATAAATTTGCGTGACGAATGGGCTGACGCACTGGAGCGATCCTATGCGCGGCTCAAGGCGCGTGTAGAGAAGAACGTTGATCTCGACGACGCGATGCGCATGGACCGTCTCCCGGACCATGTCCACTTGCTCGTATGTTTCTTTTCCGTTTCCCCATTTGCTTCCCACCGTTTTCATTAACATCCTCACCCTTACTTTCTCTTGCTTGTGCATATCTGTTAGCTCCTACTCTCCAACCCCCCAGACGCCCCCACCCTCTCCTACGCCTCCGCCCTGCTCGACCGGCTCGACAATCCTCACAAGCCGACCGACGGGCTCACCTGGGCGCAGATCCTCGCCGAGGAGCCGCTCGAGGGCGAGCACTGGGCGCTCAGCGCGGACAGCGAGAGCGATAGCGACCTCAGCCCGTGGGACGACGACCCGGAGCTGCTGCGCGAGCGCGCGTCCGCGTCGAGCGCCGCCTCCGAATACGAGGCGTATGGCGAAGACGACGCCGATGTGGATAAGGGTGAGGATAAGGAAGGTGAGAGGGACGTCGAGCTCGCGATCCCCCAACGGTACGACCACCGCGACAAGATCGAGGAGATCCAGGCGCAACAATACTGGCGCGCGGACTGGAAACCCGACCTCGACCTCGATAAAGAATTTGACATCGGGGACCCGTCGACGCTAGGTTGAATCTCTTCCATGGACGGTATCGTCTGGTGGCTGATATTCAATAGGGCCGACGATGCACCGTGTCCTTGGCGGCGACAGGCCGGCGTACAAGATTGGCGGGCCGAGCAGCGAGGTAGGAAGTGCTGTATCATCTGGTTCTGTAGGTGCTGACGTGGGTGTATGCGGTGTAGAAATATATCTACGAGCACGACGCGGTGCGCGAAGTTCTCATGGCGCTTCAGGGCCGCCAGAACCTCCTTTTCTCATGGACACACCAAGGCGGGAACACTTTTTCGTTCACCGTACGCCCTACCCATCTCCTCCCTTGGCCTTCCCCTTCCACTAACCTTGCGTCCCCAGCCCTCCCAGACCGCTCCGCGCCTAGCGCACTATACGCTCAACGCGCAGCTCTCCCTCCTGCGCTCGTTCGCGAACACCGCGACGACCGTGCACCACCTGCGCAAGTTCGTCGCGTCTGTGTACTCGCGCCCGGGAAGGGTGCGGACGATCGAGGCCTTCGCGGAGGCGGTCGAGCGCGAGCTGTGCAGGTTCGAGGGGTGGTGCGCCGCGCGGGAGGAAGACATCGTCCTGGCGCAGAATGGCTTGGATGCGGGCTCACCCAGGACGGTGGTAAGTCTGCTCAGCCTGGAGAAGCGGCTGCGAGACGAGTTCGGGCGCGCGTACGAGGTCCTCCTGGACGTCTCGCGGCGGGCAATGCGCCGCGCCACCTCGCGCAGCGCGCACGCACACGCCGACGACGACACCGACGAAGTGTGGATCCTGTCCGAGCTGCCGACGCGTGCGCCGCCCGCGCTCGTCGCCGCCTTCCTGCTCGACGCGCTCTTCGCCAGTGCGCAGACGTTCGCGGGGATGGGCGACACGGTCGTTCCGACCGTGCTCCTGCGGGTGTTTGCGCGCGCGGCGGCGCCGGTGTGGGCGATGATGCAAGCGTGGGTGGGCGCGGGGCGCGTGGAAGCGGAGGAGTTCTTCGTGGAGGACAACGAGCTCGTGCTCGCGGACCCCGAGTTTTGGGGGGAGGGGTATACCGTGCGTGGGGAAGGAGATGAGGGGAGGGCGAGTGTGCCGGGGTTCTTGGAGGGGGTGGTGGGGATGGTGGTCAGCGCGGGGAAGAGTGTGGGGTTGTTGAGGGCGCTAGGGCTTGATGTGGACGGTGTGCATGCGCGGGCGGAGTGGAGGAGTTTCTCTGCGGTGCTTGACGGTGAGGTGGGAGAGGGGCATGTGTCTGCCGACGTGCTCTCGCAGGTGGTGTACGATGAGCTGGTGGCGCCGTGCCGCACGGCGCAAACGTCGCTCACGCGAGTGCTCTTCGAGGAGTGCGAGATGATGCGACATTTGGGCGCTGTTGAGAATTTGTACCTCATGATGCGGGGAGATGATATGACGCATTTCGCGAACGTTCTCTTTGGCAAGGTGAGTGCGACTGAAATTCAGCCCTGTTTATACATATATTGATTAAAATCAATGTAAAAGATGGACACCGGACAACAATGGAGCGACTTCCACTTCCTGAACACCTCCTTCAGCGAGATCGTCTCCTCCCATCCAGGCCCTGCGCGATGGATCGACTCGGCCCTCGTACGCCTCTCCTACCGCGGCACACGGACAACCAACCGTACCGTCAGGGCACTCGAGGGTCTACAGGTTGAGTACGCCGTGCCCTTCCCGCTCACGTACGTCCTCGGGCCAAGGGTGCTGAGCGCCTACAATGTGTTGTTTGTATTCTTGCTCCAGTTGCGCCGGGCGAAGGGCGTGCTGGATAGTATCCTGGTCAGAGGATCGGGCGCGGTGGCGGGTGCCGCAGGGGAGTTGAAGGTGTTCTATGCAATGCGGAGCAAGTTGTCTTGGTTCGTCAAGTGAGTGCGCGCTTTATCTCGGCTTTGGAACATCAGGACCCATCGTGTCGGCAGTACGCTCTTGAATTTCGTAGGGACACATGTGAGGAACTTATTGTAAGCTAAGCGAGATTATCTCACTCATTTGATGTAGGTCCTCCATGCTCAAGTAGCGCTCCTACACACTGCAGTCCATAAGGCTGAATCCCTGGACGATGTCATCCGGCTTCACGAAGAGCAGTATGTCTTCTCCGTATTACTAAGTACTTTGTACTAAGAACACTCTAGCCTCGAGAAGATCTGCGGACGCTGCTTCCTGCGGGAAAACGTCAGTAGCCCACCTCTATGCCGACCCTATTACCGCTAATACCTGTTTTCAGACTGCTGCCCTACACCGAGCTGTCACGTCAGTGCTTGACATGAGCCTGTACTTTAGCGACTGTTTCGTCGCCTTCGCAGGCGACACCACACATGACATCTCCCGGGCGTATTTGCTGCTGACCCGGCGCCATCGCAGTCGTCAACAGAGGCGTCTACGGCGAAACGTCATCGGGTTTTCGCAGTCATTAATCAGACCGGAAGATGACTCTGAGTCCGATTCCGACGAAGACGGCGAGATGGCGCCAGAGCCTTCGTTCTCTGTCGCAGCGTCTGTTTCTCTCGCAGAAGAGGGTTTCTTCATTCGCCTCGATAAGATGTCGTCCGACTTGGATGGGTTGGTAAAGTTTATACGCCGAGGTGTCGAGAGTTTGGCGGCTGGAGCTGGGGAGTCGGGTCAGGTATTTGGTGTCCTTGCTTTCTCCTTGGAGGACTGGGATAGGTAGAGAAGCATAGTTGTGATAAGATGTACAGATACAAGGATTATTTGGATACTTATGGACTCATATGATTCTTGCGAACCTCCCGGGCATGTCAGCCGGCTCATCATTTAGCACTGTACCATACCTTGCCCAAAGCCAAAGAAGGTGGGGGAGGGTATTCTTTACCAAGCGATCCTCACTTTTCCAATCTTGATGATAACAGGCAAGTGACCTGTCCACTTGCTTCATTCCAGTACACTCAACCCACCTTTTCTATCCACACGTCGGTTGATACCACCGAGCAGTATCTTTGTGAGCTTCTCAACGGTCAGTTGGCCTGCATACGGGGTAGTGTCCACCATATCCTGCCAATGCAACATAAGCATACTTGCAAAGAGAAACAATGCAGATAAACATACCCTGATACCATGTGTCTTTGAGAGCGAGTCATCCAATTCGTTCAAGAAGGCAGTGGCGGACCGGAAGTTACCAATTTGGACAAATTGTATTCCAACCTGGATTCTATGTAAGTAAGCAGTCTCTAGATAGAAATAATAAAGTAAAGGGGTTTACTTGGCTGAGCGGGAAATGTCGCGCGTCGAGTCGACGCGCAGCATTGACGATTACCTCCTCCGGATCATCAGCTACAAGAAAGTTGATGTAAGGTCCAAGCATAGGATCCTGGTCACGCACTGGGTGCTCCGTCTGTAATGATGATATAGTTTGTCGGCTTGATCCCATCCATTGCCGTTCTGTCTCCGGCATCATAATTGTCTTTGGCCCTTTCAAGTTTATCCAAGTAATCCAAGAGAAGTTCTTCCAGGCGTTCGCCAATGGGAGTGGCGCCCCACGGCATCGCCATGTCAAATAGGCGTTTAACGGAGGCGGCACCCTGTACATTCTACGCATTCAGGCTCTTTTCCAACATACGCCCTAAATCTTGTTGAACTCACTCGGAGGCTCCGTCCTTTCACCGGACTGTTGAGGAAGCAAACGTCGATACCGTCGGTATCATACATTTGCGCAACGTCTGCTAAACTTGCCAATGCATCCTTGGCCTGTGGAGAAGGTATATTTTGAGCGCGTAGAGTATCAGACAGATGACTCGAACGTACCTCCTGCCACAGCCGTCCTGCCATGGAACTCGAGTCGTCTACAATGAATACTGTATTGTATTTTCTCAGTGTCTGCAGTGCATTTTCGACACTGTTCCTTCGTACAAGTGGCCGATCGGGCCCAGCGCCGTTCGTACTAACAGGTGTAGTCAAACCAGTGGGCGAAGTGACATGCACTTCGGCAAGCCTAACGGGTCTGAATGAGGCTTGTCTGCTAGACTGCTCATCCTTTGGCGAATACGGAGGCGGAGGAGGTATTATGTGAGATGTTCGTGTGGCGGGCGCCACAACGGCGTTTGCAGACCTGCTCCTGCGATGAGAGCCGTATGATGACTGTGACTCGGCCGAGCTTGGGCTTAGAAAGCTATCGCCCGAACCTTTCTTGGATGCACTAGACAATTTCTCCGCAGAGCGTCCATTGCGAAAGGGATTCGTATCGATCTTGAGACCACTTTGACTCTTGGTGTCGCCTGACGCTAGGTGCGTGCCTGGCAGACGAGCAGACCTAACTCTTCGAAGCTCTCCTCCTTTGTATTGCATCTCGCAGCTGCCCGACAAAGTCTGGTCCTTGGGGACCAAGAGATGAGGTTTGGATATGGGTGTATTGCCAAAATCCAACTCCGTGGGTGAGGTATATCTCGAGTTCGAAGGTGATTGTCCCATGGATTCAGTATTCACAGTCTGCGTGTCTATTGGCGGAAGTCCTCAATGGGGAACTCAGAGGATGAGCGCTACATCGTCCATGCATGTCCGAGTCCCCTTTATACTAGCAGCGATACTGCGTCAGTCGGCCCGAAATAGCGCAGCCTCGCGATCCACCTACGGGATATAAGAGTGTCACAAGGTCGATCGGGATATGTAGAACAAGGAAGACTTGTAACACCGACAGAAGCGGGTTGTTCGTGTCTTGAGGCAGCACAGCCAAAACATTAGGAAGTGCATGCCTATGCTATTGACTTGTGAGAGGATGAAGAACGGCTCGGCCACTTCTCATGATGTGTTCGACTGTTTGTTCGTCCCTAAATAGTCGGGGCTGTGGTAGGTAATATACCTGTGTTCCGTGCCTGTATTGTACTTTTATCCTACATCGTAATCGATACAAGAAGCTGGATCTGGAAGACAAGTTCATGCCAATGCGGTGAACGCTATGCTACAGAGCGAAAGGCGATGGCCTGTCTGCAAGTCTTGGAAAAGCGTCTGTCTTCGCAAGTACAACCATCTGCTTCTCATGGGAAATATATCCTCGCATGAAGCCCTTGTATATCATGTTCGCCACCAGGCACTCAGCCTCCTCCTGTGGAACTTCTATGCCCGACAAGCGCAGGGAGCTGTGAAACATCGACACGGGTATACGGGAGCCCTTTTGCGAAACAACCCATCTGTCCGGACATCACGGTGAGCGCCCACAAGCCGAAGGCATGGCAACCCATGACAGCACTTACACACGTCGGAACAGCCCTCTTATACATAGTTCTCGGGCCTTTTCGAGGTTGAGGTAGAGGTTCAGTTCAACAAGTCTGCGCTCCCATTTATCGAGGGCTTCGTCGTACGTTTTGATATCTCCTCGACGGATCGCGCGGATGAATGGCGCATACAAGTCGTCCAAAGCGGGGAACCTTCCCATGAGTTCCCGGGACGGCAGATGGCCCCTGAGCATTCTCAGCGGAATCAGATATGTCAAGATGCGTCTGAGAACCTTGTCAGATATTGCCTGGCACAGCTAACACGATAAAGACTGACTCCTGATTGCTATGAGCTTCTATATGGCAGTTGTAGAAAGCCAGCGTAAGTTCTTGCTCGGCCTAATCAAGCAATTCGTGGGCATGCTACGTAGACTTCAACAAAGAACAAACATACCTGAGCATAGTCTTCGTCGAGGAAGTGCAACATCCCGACATAATATCTGTATGTGACCTATGTTCAGCTCAGTACAACTGAATACAACCTCTGCAAGGCGGTGACCCCATACCTGGTGCGATCGAGGATACGCAGAGAGCGGGGGGATGTCGGTATTTGCTCGTAGCGCGCGCAAAATGGGTTTCGCTAATGATATTCGTTTCACCTGTAGGTCGGTAAGGCCAGTCTCCCCCTGCAACGAACGAGACTCACTCGGAAGTAGGTCTTCAGAACCAGCCCCACCACATAATATATACCCCATTTTCGGGACTCTGCTAAAGGGGATGATCTGGGAGGCTGCTGAGCATAAATAGCAAGCGTACTCGGGAACTAAGCATACCTGTCGGTGACACAATTCCCGAACGCTTTGGATATGATCCGAGCTGCTTCTTCCATGTTTTCGCTCTTGTTGTTGTTCGCTTGCAGGTCTGCCTATTGAAATAGTGAACATCACAGCTTGGAGGAACATGAACCGTATATTTCACATCGAATGCAAGGTCACGCAAATCGCGAAGAATAGCGAAGAGTGCAGGTAATGTCCAACCACTGTTGCTCGTGAAGAACCTGAAGAATAATCTGAAAAGCACGATGCCATTGGATTGGTCAAGAGGGTATACATATGAAGTGTCTGTCCTACGTACGATACAAGCTGTGTATGCTCTTTGAACGCCTCCCCCGCTCGCTTCTTCGCCACATGGTGGACGACCAGTACGTATTGGATAGCGATCTCGTCCCAAGGACTCTCAATGCCGCCCTCGTAGTACGACAGCGACTTCCTCTACAATAATATGCATCAGTGCCTTGCTGCCATATGACGCGATTCAGCACGCATACCGTAGGATTCCGGAACTCTTTCACCAAATCCTTGCCATGCGGGCTAGTCGGACGAAGCAAGTACGCCAGGGTCGGCCCATCCTCGTTGGTGACGCTCTCAGTGAGCTGAACCAGGTACTCTGAGAATGTTAGAGGCATCTGTGAGGCATAGACGTGCAAAGCAAGAGTTAAGTGAGGCAAGCCACAACGGCAACTAACATCGACAAAAGCCGAGGTTGTGGCACCGGCGTCTAGGTGCAGATCACGTTATCTGGAAGCGTTCTGGTGTAAGCTGACTAATATCTCCATGTATGGCAGGTGTTTATGATCACTTCGCGATCGCGAGGGCGGTGAACGCGCCTTGACCCGTCCGTTCACCTTCGTTATCGAGTAGAACCATGGCCCTTCAGCCTTCCCTGCGCCCCTTGATTATTGCTGGGAGATACGACGCTCCCCACACAATCGATATCTTTCGTAAGTTGCGTGCCGAGCGAAAGAGATTTGTGGCTGATGCTTGGAGGATGTAGTGGACTATGTCTGCCCGTTCAGGTGAAGACGGCATTTCCTGCATAACCGTCATGGTGAAACATATTGTATTACTAGCGCGAAGCTCGCCCTCGCTATCGACAGCGTACTGAAACCGGCCTTGGACGCCGGCGGCAAATACGATGGTAAAGTGAAAGCGATATTCAGGCCGCAAGTGCAGCCGTGGCATGCGTCGTCCACTTTCGTCCACGAAGCTGGGCTAGCGGTACGCTGAACAGGCACGGCTTCGGTCCAACTTGGTCTTACGACCCTATTTATGCTCGTAGGTTGCGCGCGTTGCGCCGGAGAAATTCTGGGCGTTCTCGCTTGCAGTGGGTACTCACCCACCATCGCCACGACACGATCGATAATATACGCCGGATCACAGCTCTTTAAGAAGCAAGGCGACTTCTTCGACATACCCACCTCAACCTTGACACCCCTCCAGGTACGCGAGAAATTAGCCGCGCTCGTCGCCGAAACCGTCGGCCAAGACAAAGTGCAAGCGTTCAACGACCTGCTCACACTGAAGAGCTCGCCCAACGGCGGCGTCGCGGTCACGGATGATCTGAAGTATACCGGTGAGTACCGGTCTGGGATGGTTTGTCGCGTTCGCCCGGACACTTCTGATCATGATGTACCCGCCAGTCAAGTTCTCCAGGCAGAATGGCATCCATGTGTCGCCGACTGTGCTCTGGGATGGTATTGTGGCTAATGAGATATCGAGTTCTTGGGGAGAGAAAGAGTGGACCGAATTTCTTGCGGCGAAGGTTGTTGTTTGATTAGAGCAGTCGTTGCGACCGTCAGGGATGTAACAGTGTACGAGTAGGTATTCATTAAACCGGTGTAAGTGCAGTGTGTACGAAATTATACAGATTGTGTGGGCGAAACTATGAACGTCTGTTGGATGCTAATTTTCTAGATGATATTTGTAGAGGCGACGTACTTTTGATCCACAGAAAATAAGATAAAAAGGTGAGAGCGAAAAGTATACAATTGGTACGGTAGTCTTTAGAGATATGAACCATGTCGCAACTTCTTCTGCATAGTCCGTCTAGCAGATGCCAGCCTCAATTTGAGAACAGAGCTACCCACGGTTATGGCATCGCAGCTCGAGCCCCGCGTCTGATACGATGCATGACTTACCTATCATCGGAAGCATTCTGTGCCTCTTCAAGCAGCTTAGTCCTCTTTAGGAGTGTCCTTCTGAGTTTGTACTGCTCTTGGAGAGCACACTCTGTCGAGTGGCATGGTGCTCTTAATGTCGCCTCGAGTGGCTCTAGCGACCTCTCCAGAGATTGCGCATGTTTATGGACAGTGTTGTAGTTGACGCGTTCTTTCTGCAGCTGGTTCTGCATGTTCTCGACATGTTTCCGCATTCGCGCGATCTGGCGGGCAACATCATGCCGCTGTACTGGAAATAATATAAAATATATAACGTACCTCGGCCTTGCTGTCGTCAATCCTATTTGCCTTACTCCCGCTTAACGGAGTGTTCATTCTCCTGATTCGATCCTCTGAGTGGTAGCGCCTGTCTTGCGTTGTGCAAGGCTGCTTTCTGAGCTTCTGACTTTCTCTTATGAGTAGCCCTAATGCTGGTTTCAGCGTTACCCATTATGCGGTGGACTGGGGGTTATGTGGGCAGAGGATTATATATCTGAGTGAATGAATGTATGGGCTCGGGACGCGTCGCAGCGCAATTAGCGGCGTGACGGAACGCGTCAGTCACGGCTATCCATCTTATCTTATCTCCCGGCAACCCCCGCCCTGATCAACATTTTCCTGCAATTTCAGCTGGCTGCACGCAATGTCCTCCTCGACCTCGTCCATCTCCGACCCCTTCCCGCTCGCATCCTACGACCTCCCGCGGCAGGGCCTTCCAAAAACTCAGCATGTATACGTGAGCTCCCACGTACGAAAGCGGGATGCGTTCGTGACCGCGACGGTGCAAGGCGACGGGGTGTACACCCTCGACGTGAGCGCTATTTCGTGTCGTATGCACCGCGCGCTGATAGAACAAGATAGGTTGCGACGCTGCATGTTGTATGGAACGATAGCACCTTTGGGCCGAGAGCGGCCTTCCCCTGCCCGTCGGTGACGCGCAGAGAAGGGTCCGCAGAGCTGATCACGACGTACACCGCCCAACGCACCGACTCGGGTGCCACGCGGATACGGTGTGCCAGAGAAGGACGGCCGGGAAAGTATCCAGAAGACGATCCGCAGATGGAGGTGCGTCCTCGCACTTGTCAATGTCTGCGAAGAAGGGAATTTATTTGGTGTGTAGGTTGAATACGACGTCGCGCAGTTGTACGCGCCCACAGAGCTTCCGGAGAGACTGATCTCCGTTTTGCGGGATGGCGGCGTCACGTTGCTCGACAATGAAGCCCTGGCGCCTCTCGCTTCCCACCCGTCCTCCGCGTCTGCTACCCTCTGCAAAAGCTTCCTGTTCCCCCGGGCGGAATGGTTGCCAGACCCATCAGATGACGGCGTCGTCGTGGCTCTGATCCTCCAAAATAGCAGTAAAGATGTCCGCGACTTCCATTTGACCATTGTATCAATTAGCACGGACGACGAGCTCGCAGAGGTGTACAGCTCGAAAATCCCACTAGATAACTGCGTACGTCTTCCGCTCATACCTTGCTTCCCCTATGGGCTGAACAGTGATGCTAGGAACTCGCCGATATCTCCATCAGCCCCTCCGGCTACCTCACCCTCCTCACCCCCACCGGCGCCTGGCACGCCTACCACCTCACACGCCCCTCGCCCTCGCCCTCCTCCCCCCTTTCCCTCTCCCCCGTCAGCCAACCCCTCACCCTAACGAACCTCATTCTCTCCCCGCCCTCCCCCGCGCTCCTCGCCCTCACGGACTCGCACGTCCTCCTCGCCGCGGCCACCGCCACCTCAAGCGAAATCGCGTTCGCGATCTGGGATTTACGATATGGCGTGCTGCTCGCGGAGCACTGCATCGCGGCGCCGGCGGCGCTGGGCGGGGGGAAGGGGAAAGTGAGGGTGGCGCTGGAGCATGCGGGGCGGGGGCAGGCGGCGGTGGTGCTGAGCCCGGAGGGGAAGGGAGGGAAGGGGAGGAGCGTGGTGCTGGTGCTGCCGTATTCTGTGCCGGAGAGGAGCACGATTAGGGGCGCGATGGGGCGCGGGGAGGCGGGGAAGCGGTGGTTGCTTGCGTCGGCGGAGAAGGAGGAGGGGGAGAGGGTGGCGGGGATGAGTAAGCGCGAGCGGGAGGTGGTGGAGAAGGGCGGGGTGGAGGCTGTGAAGAAGCTGGAGGCGGAGGAGGGGGAGTTGAGTTATGCGTTTGTGAAGGCGATGGTGAGGGAGGAGAGGTGGGATGAGGGGGTGGTGGGGTATCTTTTGGAGAGAGGCCTGGTTACTGCGGGTATGATGGACGGGCGGGAGAGGGGGCTTCTGGAGGTACTCAGGGTAAAAGGGGACTGGGTGAGTTGTCGTTTGTTTATTCTTCCTGCAACTACTTCTGACTAGACTATCGCAACAATGCAATACAGAAAGCAATCCAAGTGGCATTCGACACCGTCCCAGACCTCTCCGAGGACTCCATCATCTCTCTCCTGCACTTCTCCCTCTCCGCGCCCACGTCACCCATCCCCTTGTCCACCCTCCTGCGACTCATCGCGCAGTATCCGACCTCCGCGCCTGCTCTGCGCAAGGCGATCAAGGTGCACCTCGGGTCGAACCCAGAGGACCTGGTGAAGGTATTAGAGGTTGTGGAGAGCTGGATGGGCCGGTGGGCGAGCAAGGAGGGGCGGGTGCGGCTGGAGACGACGAAGGAGGGTGAGGAGCGGCGGTCGCGCAAGGATCTCCCGCCCTTCGACAAGGTACGCCTCCCTCCCCTTGTCTGCACTCCATGCATATACTCACCATGCTCGCAGGTCCTCTCCTTCCTGACAACCCTCCTCGACGCGTCCTTCCTCGCGCTGCTCGCGCACCCGCCCGCACACGCGCTCCTGCGCCGCCTCGCGGAGCACGTGCAGCCCGAAATCGCGTTCGGCGAGGTGCTCGAGCAGCTGCGCGCGCCGCTCGAGCCGTACGTGCGCGCGGGGCGCGAGAAGAAGGAGGACGGGGAGGAGAAGGGGGATTGGCGGAAGCGCAGGAAGGAGCGGTTCGAGCGGCAGGGCGCGGTGGGGGTGTATCAGGTCGAGGAGCTCGTGCTGTAGATTTGGTACGAGTTGTGGCATGTCTCCTGCGCCAGTATACATTATTATATGTTTTTGTTTGCAATTTCCTGGTTTTGCCCCTACAGGCGGGTGCGCGGGCCGGCCCTCCGGCTTGCCCTCGGACGGACAGGTTTAGCGCTGGATCGATCTCGTTTGAGTGGCTGCGACGATGGCCATCCGCGTAGGAGTACTTACAAGTAACGTCGTGCCCCCTTACTACGACCTTCGCCACTGATGCGCCCTAGTCAGCGAGACCGCGTCCGCCGACGCGTCCAAGGACAAGTCGGGGCCTACCATTCGCGACATTCTTACTACGCAGGGCTTCGAGTGTACCAAATATGCTGTAGTGCCCGACGACGAGGGCAAGGTACGCAGTACTGTGCTCGGCTGGTGCACGGAGGGAGAGGCGGACTGGGTGATTACGACTGGTGGTACTGGTTTTGGCGTGCGGGACAGGACGCCCGAGGTGCGCTCTTCCTCATCTACCCTCGTATCACACGAAACTGACAGATACAAATTTAATATGCGTCCATAGGCCATCTCACCTCTGCTCGAGCGCCACGCCCCCGGCCTCGTCCACCTGATGCTCTCCCGCTCGCTCACGCACACGCCCCTCGCCGCGCTCGCGCGCCCCGTCGCCGGCACGATCGGCGCCGCGCTCGTCACGACTCTCCCCGGGTCTGTCAAGGCCGTGAAGGAGAACCTTGCGGCGCTGCTCGAGGGGGGCGTCGTGCAGCACGCAGTCGAGCTCGTGCGCGGCGGCAGCGGGCGGGCGGTGCATAGCGAGCTGGCGAGGGCGGGGACGAGTGCGTTCGCTGGGGAGGGGCATCATCATCATCACCGCCACCATCGCCACCATGACCATACGCCGCCCGTGCCCAGGAGCGTGTTGTCGCATGATCCGACGCTGCCTGGTATGTTCTGCCCGATGTGTAAGTTATAGCAGACTGCATATATGCGCATATATTGTAGCGTCCGCGCGGCACCGTGAATCGCCCTTCCCTATCATACCGCTCTCCGATGCCCTCAAGCTCGTTATGGAGAACATAACCCCTCTGGGGACCTTCCAAGCCAAGGTGCGTCTCTCTCCCCCGCCTTGTTTCTACTCTAGTGACTATTATACAGGTGAATCCAGCGCTGAAAGGACACGTCCTGGCCGAAGACGTCTACGCGACACAAAACGTGCCCTCGACATATACGACAAGCGTAGACGGCTACGCCCTCCGCTGTAACTACCCTCCCCTTTCCCTTCACCCCCCCTGCTGACTCCTCCCAGCCACCGACCCCCCAGGCGTCTACCCCGTCCTCACGTCCTCCACGCACCCCTACACCGCCCCCCTCCCGCCCAACACCCTCTACCGCATCAACACCGGCGGGCCGCTCCCGCCCGGCGCAGACGCGGTCATCATGGTCGAGGACACGCGGTTGGTGAGCACAGCAGATACGGAGGAGAAGGAGGAGAAGGAGGTGGAGACGCTCGTGAGCGTGCCGACAGGCGAGAATGTCAGAGCGCCGGGGAGCGATGTGCGGGAGGGGGAGAGGGTGCTTGCGCGCGGGACGGTGGTCAAGAGCGGCGGGGGCGAGGTGGGGACGCTCGCGTTTGTCGGGCGGGAGCAGGTGGGTGGTGCATGCACGTCTGCGTGAGGTAGCTCACGGACGCGCGGGGTAGGTGGAGGTGTACAAGAAATCCAAGGTGGCAATATTGAGCACGGGGAACGAGATCGTGGACATCCAATCCACACGGCGGCAAGGCCAGGGTGACAGCAGCGAGTGGGGCGGGATATGGGATACCAACCGGCCGTCATTACAAGCTGCGCTAGAGGGCATGGGGTATGAGGTAGTAGACCTCGGTATCGTCTCGGACGAGTAAGCCCCGTCCCTCGCTTCCCTCCTCCCTCACTAACCCACTCGCAGCATCCCCGCCCACAAGGCCGCCATCTCCCGCGGCCTCGCCAGCGCGGACATCCTGCTCACGACGGGCGGCACGTCCATGGGCCCGACGGACCTGCTCAAGCCCGTCGTCGAGCGCGAGTTCGGGGGGACGATCCACTTCGGGCGCGTCGCGGTCAAGCCGGGGAAGCCGACGACGTTCGCGACCATCGAGGACGGGGGCAGGCGCAAGCCGGTGTTCGCGCTCCCCGGGAACCCGGCGAGCGCGCTGGTGTGCTTTTATGTGTTTGTCGTGCCGGCGCTGAGAAGGCTCGGCGGGTGGGAGGCGGGGAGGTGTCATTTGCCGAGGGTGAAAGTCCAGGTATGCTCTGTTCTGTTCTGAACCGTGTTTTATTATTCTAATATATGCTGGGTGGTGCAGATCCAGTCTCCGATGCGCTTGGACCCGCGGCCGGAGTTCCACCGCGTGGTGATCAAGAGCGCCGTTGACGAGGGCCAGGGCAGGCTGAAGGCGTACAGCACGGGCGGGCAGCGCTCCAGCCGCATGTCGAGCCTGAGCGGGGCGAATGGGCTCGTTGCGCTACCTGCCGGGCAGGGGGAGATGAAGGAGGGGGAGTGGGTGGAGGCGATTGTGATTGGGGAGATTGAGATGGAGGGGGTGTAGGTGGATGAGAGGGGAGGTAGGATTGTGGCAGTTTGTGCTAACATTGACTCAGACTAGTGCTGCATAGTCTGCGTATGTTCTGATATTTCTCTCGTTGCAGGCAGCCTCAGTCTGTCGATGAAGTTCCAACGCAGCCCTCGTTGGATTCTCTCCTACCAAGCATACTTTAGTCCGCGCGATACAATCTCCAGCCCCGAGATGGAGACGCTCCCGGCCATCTATCTTCTAGTGGCTTGCTATCCGACAGTTTTCTATCGCCTGTGGACGCTAAGTGGTGCTCCCGACCCTTGTGACACTCCCGATCCCATTGTCCTCCAAAAGGGTCGTTGTCGAATCCCCGAGGAGTGCGAGGCTTCGGAGGGGAGTTACGGCTTCCCCCGAGATGAATTAGATACAAGGTATTTCCCTACGAACAAGGACAAGAGTCCTACTATATGAAGGCTCCGTACGTTACATACATCGTATCGGCGCAGCCTAAAAGCCCCAAGGTGTCCCGCGGGAGTCCGAATGACCCGCGGCGTCCTGGGCTCTTGTTTCCTGGACATTGTAGGAGTTTATGGGTCCTTTATGGGTCCATATGTTGCCGTCGCGATCGGTTTCCAGGCGATCGCTTGTCTTGCAATTATAAGGTTGCGGGACCAAAATATCCAAATTGCGGGGGCAGGCGAGCGAGGGAGCCGGCGGTCGAGCACCGCCACGCTTATTCCCGAAAAGGCAGGGGTACATGAGCAGGCCGTGCGTAAGCTGCTGCTGCTCGCAACGACCAGTGAAGCAGGCTGGACTGTGATTCTATAAAGGAATGAGACACAGCCCGCCCTGGAATATTGCTGCTCGGTATTCTCCACAAGGCAGCCGGTACGTCGTCGCCCGCGTCCTGCTCAACGCGCTAGCCGAGCACTGACTCTGCCCCTGTTCATTGCTGCTGCCCCCCGGGACCGATGGGACGCGATGTTCCGTCTTATATCGCAACGCGCGCGCGCCGCAGTAGCCAGACGCCCTCCTCACGCACCACCGCCCGCCACCCCGCCCCGATAACCCCAGATGAGCCCAGCGAGGCGCCGCCCCCACTGCCATACGTGCGGCTCCCTCATGGCGGGGCACCGCCGGCACAACGGCATCGTCATCTGCCCCGACGGGGACGAGGACGAGGACGCCTTCGAGATGGAGGAGGGTGACGAGCAGCCCGACGACGCCCCGCCCTCGCCCCCGCCGTCCCCCGGGCAGCGCGGCCAGGGCCCGCCCCTGATGCGCCCATTCACAGAGTTTTCGATACCGGAGGACCGCCCGTGGCACCGCAAGAACCCGAACTGGGTCGAGCCACCGCGCCGCCGGCGGCCCCTCCAGGCCGAGCACGAGATCCCCCAGATCGTCCTCCCCGCGTCCCCCAACGCCCTGCAGTACAACAGGGACGGGTCGACCGTGTCGACCGTGCTGGCTGAGCACGACCTGCCGCCACGCAAGAACGATGATGAGGGGGACGAGCTGCCCCCCGATGCCGAGCCCCCGAGTCCGGACGCGCTGCACGCCGTCTTCACGTCCGAGATGCGGCTCGCGAGCGTGTTCAGCGTCACGCCCAAGGACGTCAACCAGGCACAGCGCACCGCGCGCACGCTGGGCCTCCACACGGGGTTCATCCCAAAGCCCACCCCCGCCCCTTCCGACCAGAGGAGAGCGCGAGCGCTCTCCGCCCAGCGATCGTGGTGGATGGTCGTCGGGAAGGACGACAGGGCGGTGCAGCATCTTCTCGATGCCCACCAGAAGGAGACGCCGGGCAGGTTGGACGAGGAGCCCCGCGTGGGGTACGCCGAGAGACAGGGCTTTCCGGTGTCTTTTCTGCAGCTTGTTATTGCGAGTGCGATCGGTGGCTTGATCGTGTTGTACGGTCTATCCTCATTTTAGTAGTTAGTACTAATCCTGTGGCGGACGTATTTCAGGTGAGAATTAGCACTCCTCTGTACATTACCGTAGCTTACTGTAGAGGCGTGTATGCTCTATGACCTATGCTCCATTTATGCTATCTCTCTTCTCAATCATATGCTATGCCTGTATGCCATGCCTTATACCCATGCCCTTACCGAGGCGCTGCGCGCAATCGAATCACCGCTGAACGTAGCCGGTTGTAGAGAATAACATTGACTAACGAGATGCCCAATAATACAAATGATGAAGAAAGGACTAGAAAGGATTGCAGATGAGCGGATAGTCGAACACTTATGTCGATGTCCGTATGTTGTGCAAAGGATTCGGTGGTATCAATGAAGGCGGGACGAGGAATAAATGTTAGAAATAAGTCATGACAGGTCGTAACAATGCCCGGCAATGGCGAGCAATTAGAGAACGTGAGCTCCTTCGGTGCACTCCAGCACCAGCATATACAAACATCCAGCGCCGGCAGGCGGTTTTCCAGACAGGACGGTATCCACCTCCTCCAGCAAGCAGTCCGTTCGTAACCAAGAAGTCCTCACCGGATCCCGGTCAGATCCCCCACTCGTCCAACGGCCCGCCAAACCTCGCCTTCCCGCCCCACCCCCTCCCAGCCGCTTCCACAGCTCGGTCCTCCGCCCTCTCCACGCTCAGACTCATCCCTGCGCCTCCATACGAGCCACTCGCACCGAGTAGCCAGCCCGTCCACCACCCCGAACCACCCTCTGCGTCGCTCCTGTCCCTATCCTTCCTCCCCACCCCCGGACCTTTCCTTGACCGTTTGCTCGGGTACTTGGACGACTCTGACCCGCCAGGCTTCGACTGCCCATAAGACTCGGGGAGCTCGGCGAAGCTGATGCGCTTGGGCGTGGACCGCCCTGAGCTCGTCGCGCTCCTGGAGCTGTCCGTATTAATGCTGAGGAGCGACGGCGCGGGCGTGACGGGCGTGCTCGGCGCACTCCGCTGCTTCAGCGAAGAGTGCTTCGGTGGGCTGGGTGGTCGTGTGCTCGAATGGTGCGTGCCTTTCGTGAACAGCCTCGATACAGAGGCGGTAGCATTTGAAGTGCCGATCGCAGGCGCAGGAGGGGCGGACTTGGGCAGGAAGCTCGGTCGTTTCGACGGTACAGGCGGCTCCGCCGGCGGCTTCGGCTGCTCGTTGAGAATCTTTCTCAGCGTCTGAACGGTCCTGGAGACGTCGGGCTGGGAGTCGGTTGAGGAAGCTGTGGAGGCAGAGGACAGTTCCTCTATTGGAGGTGTCATGGGACGAGGCAAGGGAGGAGGCGAATGATGGCGTCGTGGTGTTATCGAGCGGGATCGCGAACCGGACGATCGTCTATGGACTGGATCGGGAGAATTGAGTCTGGGGGAGGGGGAGGAAGTGTGGATCTGACTCGATTTTCGAGTCAACAGAGAGGAAGACCGGGGCAAGCTGCCGGAAAGACTGGCGCTGCGTCCTTGACGGGCACTGATAGTAATAAACCAAATATAGGCACGCAATGTGGTTGGTGAGTAAGGGCTGTTAGGTAACGTAACGTAAGGAAGAACGCACACCGGGGGTGAGGCATTCCGCTTCGCGACTGAGGAAAGCAGATCGTAGGCCTTCGTGGTTGAGGAGGAGGTAGATAGTTCGGGTTGGTGATCAAGCTGATCTGACGACGCGTTCCGCGACTGTGATAGCGAATGCAGCGAATGAGAGTGCGATCTTCGAGTTGGACCCGCGGACGCATTAATATCGGTAGAACTGCTAGATGTATCTGGAAAGTACGAGGAAGACGATGCTCGTAGACCCAGGGTTGAAGGGAGGAGTATGGATGATGGATCGTCCGTCGAGTCCACATACAGGGTCAGGGCACGAGGGGCTGTGGCGACTAGGTTCCTTCGATCATGATTGGAGTAGTTGAGCTGACCCGCGTCCGAGCTCGCGCTTTCTGTCCTCGCATTCCGGAAATCCAGAGAAGGGCGTCTTCGCCCTCTGCCAGGGCGGCGAATGGACGATATGGAAGGTAGACTGCTGCTCACCAGGGTGGAGGAATCGCCCGCCGTGCTCGGGCCAGCCACACTCCTCTCGTCATCAGAAGACGCGTGTTCACCAAACAGCCTGTCCACGCCCTTAGTTATCTCCTCCAAATCTTCCATCCAGACGTCGTGCACGTCTTGCCCAATTCTTGAGGACAAAACGCGTGCACGCGCCTGGAGCGACTGATCGGCGGGGCTGTCCGGAGCCAGCAGCGTAGACAGACTGGACTGCGTGGACATGGACGATTGTAAAAGCGCGTTTGAAAGCTCCAGGGCGTGTACACTCCGCTCGAGAAGCGAGTCTAGGTGGGGATCAGACGCGGAGGTTAATCGCCTGCGTGGATTCGCGATTCGCGAAGATGAGTGTCGGCGCGGGTACCGTCTAGGAGACAGGGGAGGTGGGGAAAGAGGAGGGTGCGCGTATACCTGGTCTGACTCGAAATCCTCGGTGTCGGCGTCAGCTTCACTGGCACTGTCCGGATAATCTGGTGGTCGGTCCGATGGTGGATCCTCCTGCCAAAAGTGATGCGCGGGCGGCGATGTATACGCCGGCAATGGCGCTACCGAATCTGAAGACAACCGCAAGGCAGAGATGCGCTTGCGATGGCGATATCGAGGGAGGGAAGGGGAATTCATGGCTGCAGACCGCGTATCACTAGCAACTCGCCCGAGTCAAAGCTCGAGTGAGTCGACGCGGTCCCGTGGCGAGGAAAAGCTAAAATGATAGGAAACGCTGACAGGAAGGTGATATTTGTAGAGCAGATGCTGCGATACTAGAGCGCTAAGATACTGGCGGATACTGGCGGCGGAGGGCATGAAAAGGGCGTCATCGTTCTCATGAGGAGGCCGCATGGCAAGCCGACCCTGTTGCCTTGTTTTGTGGTTGCTTGTTTACGCCCGCCACCTCGCGCAGTCCATGCTGCCTTCATGTCTGCACACCCAAAAGCCGTGGTCGAAACTGAGGTATATGGACAAGAATGTCCCTGAATTACAATTATGAAGGCACATCGATGGAAAATAAGGCCTGCGTCTAAACATGCGGCATACTCTAGGGATCCATCAAACGCGATAATAAAGATATCAACTGAAGAGGATCTATCATGACTTGACCTTGACCCCCGGAGCAGCAGTATCAACAGCATCAAGAGGGCCAGCGACCGACTCAAGATAGGCGTGGTGATAGAACTGGCCAAGAAGCTGTACAGGCTTGTAGAATATCATCGACGTCCAGAGGAATAGGCGGCTGTTGTATTGGGCGACGATCTTGTCATAATCCGCTACATGGGCTTGCGGTAAGCAGCGTTCCATTTATGCATGAATGTAGCGGTTACTTACTCTGCAGCTGTGCGCGGAGTTCTAGCCAGACTTTGGTGTAATCCGTGAGGATAGCGTCAACATCCCATCGGACGCACTATCGCAAACTTCAGCATGGAAGAAGGGCTTTCTGAGGAACGCCACGCACCTCCATCATATGCTCTGGCTTGTTCACGGTCCATACGAGTATATTCTTGCCCGCTGCTTTACACTCGTTCCGGAATCTATCGAGATCCATGCCCATCAGCATACCAACACTACACAACGTGAAATACTCACTTCGCCCCGTCCGAACTCGTCAACATACTGAAGTGAATAGAGAAAGCCTCACAGCTTTCCCAGAAGTACTTTCTTGCGATGTGCAAACTCACTCCAATGAACGACCTCTTCAAATACGGCAGGACGGACTTGGCGGGAGCAATAAACCGCGGATGCCACAGACCCAAGAGGATGCGCGGTGCGAGAAGAGTTTCCCAGTTCTCGTGCGAGGTGATCGTCTTATGCAGGAGGGGGAAGAGCCGGTCGGGATCGCTCTGGATTTTCACGTCCACATTCAACTTGACGTGTTGGTTTTCAGGCTGGGAGAGTCAGTTTAGGCACAGTGTCCGCTCATGTGAATGCGGATAATGTGATGAATACCTTCATGAGGAGCTCGACAGTCTCGGGGAACGTAGGTATCGCCTGCCTAGGCTCTTTCTTCGTCCGCACATGCTCCATTCCATCTTTGCCATACCAATACCTCTCCCTAATGAAGCCTGTGACGCGGGTTCATTCGCATTCCATGGTCAGACAACTAGTCACTAACCAGTTCCGTCTGTAGTCCTCTCCAAGCCTGTACATCTCAGGTCAATTCTGCGGTGTTGGAACGGCATGGTAAAGACGCACTGGGATCATGGAACATGACCACGACATCATCAAGGGACATATGGACATCTGGTGGCCGTGTTACAGGGCTCAAAGCCACAAGCACATCGTTCAGAGCGCATTACCGCTTTCTATGCCTTCTGCGCCATCACGTATAGCCGCCTCGAAGCTCGCGAGGGTGTTCTCCGGAAATGCAGCTGAAGCCTTGTGACAAGTTACAGAGTGCAGAACGGGCGTCCAGCAACAAAGCTGACTCACACCGCGGTGTCCCCAGCAGTCTATCATCGAAGAGCAGTAGACTATCAGCGACATATAGCTGTAAGATAACCTGTAGACACCCACCAGGGAATTTCTTGAATTTTGTGGCAGAAACCGGTTCGCCAGGCATCTTACTTGAGAGGTAATAGTACAAAGGACTGGACGAAGGGGGCGATTGACGGGTCCGTGGGGAGAGAAACAGAAGGCGCATACGTCCATCACGAGTAGGGGGCTTATATACGCGCAGTACGGCCGGAGGATATTACATACGCGTCCGACTCGAGTATCCACGCGAAGAGCCACACATCCCGAGCAGGGCAATCTGTCCCTGTGCCGGCCGACCCTAAACGTAGGCTATTCTAACCAGGGTTGTCATCAGCCACTCTCAGGATTCTGCCAGGCGAACGTGGTGCTCGGCGATAGCATGTGCGTGGATGAGATGTGTTTTGCGGGATCAGCGGTGTTCTTTGTGTGGGAAGTTGTAAGATTAGCAGTGTGAGATGAGCGGGAAAAGGAGAGGTGAATCCATGGCCAGTCGAGAAAAGCACGTTGCACTATCGGACTCAGAATATCTTTCTCTCAGAAGAGGTCACCTCGGATTTGATCGCTGGATCTAAGTCCTACTAGTGGGCGCTAAAAGACGACCTCCTAAGTATCCAGACTTGACTGATGCGTTATAAATTGGCCTGTACCCATGTCCGACGTGAAAGCTAGCAATTCGATCCCAATGTCACAGGAGCGGTAGATTAGGTGTATAGAACTTAGCAAGAGGACTACTGCTTGGACCCGAACATCCTCTACGCATGACCTCAACTCTCCCAAGCCGCACGCTGTGCGGGTCGTCCAACCAGCACCATTCCTTCGTCCTCCTCCGTTTCGGCCCCGTTCTCACTTCCCTCCGGTCTCCGGACAGAACTTCCGCTTTCCGACGCAGAGGAAGAGTGCTGGCTTGTGCTCTCCGCCGGGGTCTCAGGATCGGGCTCTGTTGGCGCCGGCGGAACGGGCTGGTCAACAGAATTGCGTTCTTCTTGCTGAGAAGGCTGCACCTGTTCTGTCTTGGCTTCCGGATACGCAGATGGTGGGACGGGGACTGAGATTTCGCGTAATGTCGCGACCATCTGATCCCGGACTCGGTTGACGAGGTCTGGTATGTCTACTGTCGTGAGACCTGTTGTGGGCACAGGCGGCAGCACTGAACCAACCCAGCAATCAGATCGTCAGCATTATTGTACGCCATAGCGGCCATCCGGTTAGCTCACCCTTAATCTTCAAGGTTCCCGACCCGATAACGCCCTTGCGGTATAACCTCCAATAGTTTTCACATACAACGGGGACGATCGGGACACCAGCCTGCACTGCCAGGTGGAATGCACCTTTCTTGAACGGTAACATGTCGTGGTACTCCCTCATGGACCTCGTCCCTTCAGGGAACAACCATAAACTCGTATGTCTCGCCTTCATGATCTCCCCAGCTTCCGTTAACGATTGTACTGCCTTCGCATTATTTCCCCGATCCACAAAGACTGCTCCTGACAGCGACATGTACTGCCCCAATAACGGCGTCCATTGCAGTTCCTTCTTCGCCATGATACTCGTCCGTTTCGGAAAGATCCTACATTGAGCAGAAAACAAAAAAGGTGGAACAGACGAGAACGCGGGTTCCGAGGATATAGTCAACTGGCTTGCATTCATGACGCCCAGGGTAACCGCGCGAACCTTCCCAGATAAATGATATCCAGCATGCTCTGATGATTCCCCACGAGGACCGCCGGACGCGTGTCCAGATGCTCCTCGCCCTCCACCACGAACTTGATCCCGAGCACCCTACTTGAAAGGTGGTAGAAGCTCCTGGCGGTGACGTAGTTCACGTCGAATCGTCGGCCGACGAGAGACATCCCGACGGCGACCATCGCGCCCCAGACGGAGCACAAGCCCAGGGTAGAGAGGTAGAGCCCGAGGCGGACATAGTACTTCACGGTAGGATCAGAATTTGCGAGTGCATTTATGAGGAAGAATGGGACCGAAACATAAGCTAGGGGTCGCACGATGGCACCCAAAATCGACATGATCGCGAGTCCAGTTGGTAGCTGCGGTAGGCGTCGCGAAGAGAGATTGTTTCTAGAGAAAGGAGCAGTAAATCGATAGCTGAGGGATGCAGCCCTCGCTCAACAGCCGGAGCGTGCACGCGGATTGATGAGTCCTCTGATTTCTGCCGTGGTCAGGGAATACTAGTAGGGCTGCGGCATCTTCCGTCCCAGACTCCCACTGGCACCGACGCTTCCTCAGCCTGCCTATTTGGGTAAACGTGGTTGAACCTCGATCCATACCAGCCTGAGCATGGTCCTGAAGCAGAGTTCGACAAGCAGAAGGCCTTCCGGGGGTGAGGGCCGTCGAACTACTTGATTAAACGTACAACTTATTTATGCAGGATCCAGCAGCAGATCGACAAGCCGAACGTTAGGCGTTCCCTCTGCCAGCCACATTAGTAGCGCCTCAGCCACCGGAAGTGTTCGCGGCCGTGATAAGCCATCTACGGCGTCGGCCAAGGCAACAAACACAAAGGATCCTACTGAAGCTGGTAGAAATGTCCCCAAGAGATCCAAGAAACCTTTGGACTCTACGGCAAAGTCGAGGCTAGGGAAGTCGGCAGACTCGTCCAAGAATGCAAACGTCTTCCTACCAGCGGGACAGAAGATGGCCCAGTTAAATGGGAGTATCACCTCCTCCAGCGCTAAGGTAGGCATAATACTACTATCCTCTCAGTCACATTCTTTACTCTGTGAATCAGCCTCAGCCACCGGTATTAAAGCCGCTTGACCAGAGTGACACGCTCCAAGTAGCCGCCCAACTATACTCCTGGTTATACATGAATAATAGCTTGAAGAAAGCCCACGATTTCTCGAATGCTGCAGCACGGGTGCGTCTCGCACTACGCTATAGCGCCCTGCATCTAACCGGATGAGGACAGGAAGCCATTGAGAGCTTCCGGCGGAGGTTACAAGAAGAAGAGTCTGACATTTCGGATCGACATATACGCTTCGAGGCTGAACGGTTGATAGCCTTCCTCGAGGAGTTAGCGTCGAGTGAGGTACCGAATGCTCTCCCGCCACATCGTGGACGCCGCTGACGAAAATCACAGATCGCTGCAGATGTGGCATGGGTAATACGGGGACTCATGAAGCACGAAGAAGAGACTACTCCTTTACTCGCCGAAGCTTTGACTTTGGCAGGACACGGAGTCAGGAACATCGACTATGTTTCGCCCATGCATCGGCTCAATGACCTCCTCAGTGACTTGGGTAAGTATCCGTCCGTCTCAGTTCCTACAGTCGCCTGATGCACTCTCAACGCAGCACGCTTAAGAACAAAAAGTACAACTCTGGAGACGGCGCTGCACCGCATCCTATCAAGACACCACCGAGAAGAGTCGTACCTGAAGCCGGTTCTCCAAGCATATCTGCCTGTTTTGCATGCGAGAGCCGATAACTTAGACACTGCCACTGAACTCATCCTAGATATAAAAGAAAACATTGGGATGTGGTTGGAACGGGAAAGTCTGGTACTGGACACCGGTGGAACCTAGATGGAGTGACTTGTCTGCTGCGTCGGTCAAGTAGTGCAGTAGCGTTGCTCTGATTGGGGTCGTCAATTCGTGTAGTTTCATATGGTTCCCAAGAAGGGCGGAATTAAATTGGGACGATACTCTTACAACGACACTGAAGTCCAAAACTCTCACGCAGCAGACGAGATACACGAACATGGAATACGGGTTGCAAACTCCAGATGTAGCCAAGTAGGCCAACAATCTGAACCGCTGCGTACCTGCGGCGCAAACACAGCTATGAATCGGAACTGCAGCCTCGACAACCTGTCAAAAATAGTCAAGAGCTATAACTAGGAAATGACAGGCGCTCTTCGTACCGCAGTGTACACACTCCACAACAGTCCCTTTCCTCAGCTGTGCCTTTGGCACTCTACAAATGCATGTCGAACCTTGGTAATTCATGTCCTGTAAGCCAGAATATCAACCCTGTGCCGTAAGCATAGAAGCGCCTGCGAGGATGTCTCACCCTAGTCTGGATGCACCGTAGACAGCAGAGTTTCTCATACCCAGCCTTTTTCCACTTAGCTATCAAACTAACGATCATCGAGTCAGACAACTAACCAAGTGAATAAAGCGTAGGACTTACTTTGCATCGGCATAACCCTCCTTCAACAGCCAGTCGTACAACTCTCGACTTATCGCCTCACGCTTGTAGTAAAGCTCATAGATATACCTCGAGCGAGCATGAGAGATGCGCATTATAGGCCACAGAGACTCCGTCTTCCGTTTACCCTCATGGGATTCATTCTCTGCATCACGCATCTTCTTCGCATAGTCATCGAGGATCTACAGGCCAGTTCAGCGTGGGCACATTCGCAGTCTCAGCGGAGAAGAAGGCTAAACAAACTAGACTTACAGCTTCGATATCCTCGTACCCTTCGGGCGGCTTCTTCGTCCTCGACGTCCGGATCTTGGGCATTGTGGTGGTGGTCCTCGTCCGAAGCGAGGCGCGGGAAAGCGCTGGACGACGCGGACGATGGCGAGGGCACGTGACTACAGCCTCGAGGACGGGTAGGTTCGTCATAAGCATGGTAAAATCGGTCGGACCATTCGGTCCTCACGTGCAGCGGAAGGGTCGGGCGTGAGAATAAAAAGGTCTGGTACACGTGAGCTCAGATGAGCTCAGATCCTCACAGAGCCTCACAGATCCAGATACGTCATAGCCCTAACCCTGCCGCACCCCAAGTCAGGAAGAAGCCCAAATCGCACTTCGCGCATAAGTCGCAGTTCTGCGCGCTCGTTGTCTGGCACGATGGTACCGCTCCCGCGCGCTCGTTCCCCGGCACAACGACTACTTCCTGCCCAGTACTGTGCTCCCTCTTCCCACGCTTGTGATTCTCTCGTCCCTCCGTCGACCACCGCTATGAATTAAGGGCAAATGCTGAGCTGGCGCCGCCAACAACCTATCTCGCTCAGTAGTAGCCTCGGTAATTCCTGGTACGTATCATCACACTCTCCCACATGATTTGCTCTGACAGTATTAGTCTCAAGACAGTAGGTCTGCAGTCCGTGTGGTGCCGGACGCTGGCACAAAGCTGGGTTCGTAGCGGTTACCTGGCGCCTCAGCCTCGACATCGACGTTCGGTTGCCCTCCGGTCGCCCCCGCCACCCCACAAGTCCAAGGAGGGAGGAAGAAAGGTGCTCCGTCCTCGAAGATGCCGTTCTCGCTCACCCTGCGCTTGTCGCTGCCCCGACAACGCCTCCTTCACCGCGCCGACAACTCCCCCATTGCCGCTCGGCGCGCCACCCTTTGTCAAGGTGCGCATCCGCCTTCTCCAGGCTTGTGTAATAGGAAGCTTGGGTATGCTGACTGGGTCTGGTGCACCGCGAGGACAGTGACAAGCAGCTCGAACGACTATGTCGCGGGCGGCCATGAGGACCCTTCCCCTCCCCTTCCTGTACATGGGCACCGCCCAGCGATCTACAGATACACCGTGAACGACCGGGTGACCTCCCTGCCGCCATGCAAGACTGGTGCGATATTTGTTTAGAGCCCAACCCTGCACCACGCCGCTCATCAGAGCCCCGCACGCTGTGTTTGATAGCTGACCGGGGGTTAGTTTGGTTATTCGGTTGCATATCAGGGTGAGTGCGTTCGTTTGGGCTGGGCACTTGCTCCAGCTTTAATATTTATCTGTGTGCTCATTGTGCGAATCATCTAAAGTTCGGCACGATCCTCATTGACTCCCTGCAGAAGCACAATACCTCACCATCGGTCCCATAATGACCTGGTCCCTCTGCATGATGACTGTTGGTGTCCTGGTTGACATCTCTGATGGCAACTTCCTTGTCCTGCAAGTCACATCGCCTTACCACCCCTGACGCAGCTGTACCACCTTCGGTTGGGATAGGGTAGTATAAGGTGGTTAGATGACATGTATACTATATGATAACATGAAAATAAACTAGCTTTACAATGTAAGCATATCCTACTGAGTAATAGAAGTGTGCGAGTAAGTTAATGACCTGCTTCGACGTTAGGCTTTGGTTTGAGAGCTAGAGCTCTCACGCGAAAGAGCATCAATGACAAAATATGATACCCCTTCAACCTCCTTCACGTCTTTGTTCATAAACTGGTCCCACTTTAAACCAGTCAAGTCAAATAGTCCAACGCCGTCACCGTCCTTGTAGCGGCTAGTGAGTAGGTCAGTGAAGGCACGATCTTCAATGCTATATGTATCCATCCCCGCGCCACCATGGACAAGATTGTACGCAACCGCACCAATCCGGTAGATGTGGCTTCGAAGCGCGCCACCGTCGATGGTTTTGCCCTTGACAAAGATTCCCTCAGGCTGTGGGAAGGGAATCGCAGGCCGTATGCTCAGATTGACACCGTCGGCGCAGCAATCACGTTTGTGGTTCATCGGGTGCCCCGTACCGCCCGGATACATGAGACGCTGGCACCGTGAACATACGTTCGCTTTACGCTATGTTGGTGACATCAGAGGTGGATACAATGAGATATCATGATTCGGATGATAAGCTCACCGTACTGGGATTGCTCTTCAGGTTAAAGATTTGTACAGCTTTGCAGTGCTTTGTCCAGAACTCCACATTTCCTGAAGCAGCTGCGAGAAGGTACAGCTCAGCTAAACAGTCTGTTGAGACATAAACCCGAACGTACACATGAAGTCATTATTTTTCAAGCGTTTCAGGACCTGTTCTTCAACTGAACCGAGCTTCTTCTGTAGAGCGCGAGGGTCTTTAGGAGTTGCGGACGCACCGGCCCTTTCAAGTATGCGCTTATTGAAGTCCAAAGTTGCATTCGCCCAGTCCCGAGGTTTCATGTCAGCAGACCGCCATTGATATTCCGCGCGCATGTCCATGAAGAGGAAATATTCTGGTCCATCATTGATTGAGAGGGCGCGAGGATCAATCTTGGTGTGTAGCTTGAAGAATAGCTCTGAACGGGTCATACTAGCAACAGCCGTAGACCCGGTCCCAAGCTAGTGAATGACCATGCCATCAGTGAAACTCTTAATGACCATAGAATACACTACTTACCGGTCCTGTATTAGCCGATTTGACGGTTCCGACATCCCGCGTGACTTCGAAGAACTGGTCAATTTTCCTGCGCTTTGTCGGCAAATCCCCGTGAGCAGCTACACTAGTAGCCGGTTCATGGGAAGTACTCGATGCTGACAACACCAGATCGTCCACTGCTAGACTTTGTCGTTTACGACTAGGAGGTGGTGTCAGCACTTCAGCGATCTGACCTGTGACGTTATACGAGGAGCCACCAGTCGGTGTTGTCGGTCTGAGCGGGGGACTACCGAGGACAGTAGAAGCCTCTTGGTGAGCTGTGGAGAAGTCCAAATGAGAGGGGTTGGAAGGAGCACTGGCAGCTGTAACCACTGCATCAGCAGTATTCGGTGGCAGACCTGTCTTGGCTGTCGGACTTGTACCATCGGAAGGAGACATAGTCACAGAAGTAATTGTGGACCCCGTCTTGGTAGTCTGCATTGCCGGTGCTAGATCGTGGCCGACTGAAGAACCTGCAGCAGTTAATTATCAGCTTATATACAATAGCTTGCAAAGCACTGTTCACCATTAACTTGTTTCCGCACAAGAACTGCTGGTTTTGAAAAAAGAGCTGGGTCAATCCTGAGCTCAGTGCTCACAAGGGACTCCAGTTCGTCACTGTCTTCGTTTCGTATGTCTGCAGTGAGAGCCTCGATGTCAATATTATCCTCCTCTTCCATCTTGATAAGGCCCTCCCATGAAAGTGCGTGATTTGACTGCACGAGACCAAAAGATTCACCACTTTCAACCTGGGTAAACATGGGAAGTAAGAGATTATTATCACAGGTCTGCGTGTTCCACCGCTTTGCGACATAGTTGATGAGGTGAATGTGGTGAAGGCCATGGGTTGAGCGAACAAAGGGGGAACGTGTCGATGCACTTTGTGTCGCCCGACGTCCTGTTGCAAGACTCATGTTGCGACGATGCACAAAATCATGCGAGAGCGCAACAAACATGACCAGGCCACTGGCCTGTGCTCGCTGCACACCATTCCATCCTCGAAACACGCACTCGATACGACTGCCGTCGGTAGCAACATCATCACGCACACGCATCAAGCAGCCGCGCTCGACATGTTTCATCTGCGACTCATGAATCTAGATTGGAGCCTGTTTAGGAATAACTACTAGACGTTGTAACAATCACCACGCACCTGTAGCGCCGCTTCCGACCAGGCTCCCTGTAGTGCCCATTTGTCGAATGCATCCTGCAGGCGTCTCTTCTGCTCGCCCTGTGGCCAGTACTGCGCTGGGGTGCTGGAAGTTGTATCTGCGCGAACCTTGATTATTGCACCAACAATGTCCTTGGAAATTGCAGAGCAATTAGGATTCCTCTTCCCTTGATGAATTCCCGCTACATAACTGTGTTCCATAATACTGTAACTCAATTATCTATGTCTCCGTGAAGTAAGGTTGGACAGACGTACCGCTCCTTGAAATGCCAGACGTCCAGTGCGATATGTATGGCTTCAAATACTGATACTGCCGAGCCTCGAATATGGCAACAGTTATCTGCGAGGAGGGTCTCCGGATAAGGGGCTTTCAAGATGTCACAACGCTTCTTGAATCCTCGTAAGACTTCTGTTATTTCCACGGTGGAGCCAGATTGACAGAGGCGCTGCAGTAATTGTCAATACTGCATAGGTACGGACATTCCGGGACTCACCCAATTGCATATCTGACTATCTTCGTTGATAGCCGCAAATAGCCCCCCACCAAACGGCTTCAGACGATCTCGCGATGGTGACACAATCTGTGCCTTCTTGGCCGAGCGGAATGTGTGATCAATGGATAACGTCCGAGCTGGTATACATCAGCACATGCCTTTGAAATGCCAAGAAAAGGTGTACATACCTGAGATAGTCTTGCAGTACTCTTCCGATTCAGCTTGGCGGGTCATCCGAACGAATGTCAGGTATACCTCGCTGATAATCTCATCGGAGATGGACTGATCCCTGTAGCCGTCGGCATCATATGGTCCGGAGAATGCTTGCCGCTTCGGATACAGTAGGGGGTCGATATAGCCAGCATCTATATATTGTAGATGACGCTGCTTGTGGATCAATAAATGAAGCTCTGAGTTGCGAGCCATGTCAGTAATCCTACCGTATGCATGGACCAAGAGGAACACATACGTTTAATGTGGGTTTCCAAAGATGCCGATGGTATACTCGGGCGCAGCTCAATGATTAAGTCGAACAGATCCCTTGTGACCGCGCATCTCTTGAGGAAGTGTGGAATACCGACTGCAATACAGATAAGATATGTCACACTCGGAGCGCGGAAGAGACTTACGTGGAACCTGCCAGTGTGGTATTCCATTCCAATAGTCGCGGTTGGTCGTTGTCCAGAAGCGCTGCCGAATTTTCCCTGCTTCATCTTCAGTGACCTCCTCGATGTCAGCAGCAGGAGCCAAGGAGTCGTCACAGTTCCCAGTGCCAGATACAACAGCCTTCGATTCGAGCATCAGAGCTTTCCGGTCTTCCTCGGCACCTTTGTCACAGGTCGAGCACAACATCTGGTAACCAATCGCGAGCTCTTCCTCCATCAGTCCATGGACCTCTCTCGGCCCTCCTTTCCCAGCCCACTGCTGCCACGATATGTCTGGCTTCGTACCCTGGTCCTGACAGCCTGGACACCTCTCTCTCAGGGACGGGAAATAGAATGGATGGACGACATTCAGAGGCTTGTAGTAGTAATGCTCTGGCTTGATCTGGGTCGGAAGCCCCTCAAACCTGGAAAATAGCAGTGGTGATGGTGCTATGAAGCGCGGACCTAGTATAGGGATGATCTTCGGAAGCTTAGAGGGTATTTGAGATGCCTTGTTCTTCCTTGGCTGGGTTTCGCGGTTCATCCACTCCACATACGCGCAAACATGCCCGACCCACTCCAGCTGACGGCGCTCTTGAGTGTTAGCCTGCTTGGACCATCGCGCTGACAAGCTCCTAGCCTAAACATGCTTCGTGAACAATCGTCCCATCAGGAATAGGTCCGTTATATACCTTCTCATTCCAATCCTTCACGAATGCCTGACGCTTTTTCTCATCCTTTATTGTTGATGCTATAGCAGCTTGTACTGATGGAGGATGGAATACCGACATTAAAGCATGCAGTAGAATAAACTAAAAGTGAGTAGTGTTGGACGACATTGAATAAATAGACGGTGACTGTGGCTGGCAGAAGCAGGCGAATATCGACCCTAGCCGCGCCGGACCTATACTCGGCAACACGACACTGCCGCAACATCGGTTGTGAGCGGGTAACTTAGGGTCGCACAATGCAATGTATAATGTTGAGGGAATATAATGCAGTTCTGGAAAGCTACAGACCGCTCCTCATGTTTGCTGATGGAAAGTACATGGTACCATTGATCCGACACCCCCAGGTACTACTTTCGTGGTTGAAGCAGACCGGATTATACCAAGCCCTCGTCAGCGGCTTACGAGAGCATGGAGCAGTCGATTCCTGCTGAGTTGCGTAAAAGGTGTACACGGATAATTCGATGTTGATCTCAAACTGAAACATAGTAAGTGGTATGCGGAGCATTAAATATTAAGTCCCTGCCACGACAGTAATGCATTATTGCATTAGTGAGACAAATGTGCAATATGTACATCAGAGAAAAAGATTCTACACATTGTATGAGGTGAGTATCACAACGGATCAAAGTACAAGCATAAGGTGAGAGCGTCAGCACAGCTGACACCCGAACTGAGATATTCACCGGGAACAGGACTAGGAGTTTGTAAGCAGTGACAGCAACGATGCGGCCGACAGCCGCTCTCGTTAGCTAGCATTTAAATGATGGTGTTGTCCTGCTTGATCCTGACGAAGGCGGGGATGTGCTACGTTTTGCTCGTTAGTATGCATTCTATTCCATTGCGATGCAAGGAGGTGGTGAGGGAGGAAAATCGCACCTGCCTGCATGTGCGCCGCATGCATGACCTCAATCTTCATGTTCTCCATCTTGAAGAGGTCGTCGGAGGGTGAGGATTCCGCCTCCTCCAGCGAGAGCAACACCTGCCTCATAACCACCCATCAGCAACCCTACACACCCACGCCAAAAGCACACTGGCTGGTACAGGTACTTACGACAACTGCGACAGTACTCGTATGCACTCTCCCATGCGCCTCCGTCGCCGACACGCGCTGAACGCGGTACACCCCGCTCTCCCACCTCAGGCACTCATATGCGCTTGCGCTGTGCACCTCGAGCACCACATCTTTCAACCGCCCTCGTCCGCGCTAGCGGTATGCGCGGCACACCCCCGTGCGTGCGCGAAGCGCTCGTACATGTACAGGAAATCGGCGAGGAAGAGCGAGGCCTCGCTGCCGTTTGGCGTTGAGCACGCGTTGCTCGTTGAAGGTTAGCTTTCGCATGGAGGGGCCGATGTCGTGTAGGAGGGAGGTCGTTTCGGTGAGGAGCTATTGGCAGTGTGGATGTTTGGTGCGTTGTGGGGGGGAAAGGGGGGGGCGTACCTGGGGTGTATGCAACCAGTCCTCCCACGCTCCGTGCAGCGGTTCGAGCTCTGAAAGCTGTTTCAACCACACAATGTCGGTACGTGTCGAGGATTTTGGTAGGGGAGCGGGATGTTCCTCAATCGTGCTAGGGGAGGATAAGGACAGTTAGTTATGCAAGCCTGAGCAGGGTATACGAACACACCTAATTGGCGAGCTGCACCTCTGGCAGTAACTGGGATATCGAGGCGAGCCCGCATCGAAAACTCCACGTATGCTGCAAGCTATGATTAGCCCGGGCCGCTGCTGTCCACGTATGTTCGAGACCCACATAGGCCTCTGCCTCTAGCCATCCTCACGTTTGGGTTGAACTGCGAGCATCCCCTAGAGTCCTCGTATACGTAGATAGCCTTATTGTATCTAGATACTTTGCCGGCGAAGAAACCCAGCAGAGGCGGAGCATCAATCGAGATTTAGGACTGCAGGCGAGATCCGTACGTAAAGAGTTTACACAATAAGATCCATCAGCCGGGAAGCCATCAATCTTACCACTAACAGGACTGCATCCTCTTTCCGGGCGCTTTCCTCGGGTGAAAGGCGTTTACCATGGCCGGTCCACGGAAGCAAAACAGGTTTTACCATGGCGAGAGCTCGGCGCTGACGCGCCGGCCATTTGCCATGCTTATGACCAATTTGCCCGAGGACGCGCCCCTTGTGCTCGAGGCGCTACGTCGTTTCCTGACACCTTCAGCGCAAATGAAAGCTATATGAGCGGAATCTCCTATGCCTCCAGCGTACCTACCTCTGCTGACACCACGTCTTTGTGCTGTTTAACCCAGTTCCTGCTCTACAATGCCTCTGATCGTGCCCGCCCTCCGCTTGACCGTGCTGTTCATGAATGTCTGGGAGACGTTCAAAACCGTTAAACCGCCCCGCCCATCCAGTCGCAACAATGGGCAGCCAAGTGCACGAGCTATGACCCAGAGGAAGCGCAATATGAAAGGGTGTTTGGCCGTTTGGGTCGTTTGGGTGAGTCGCGGCTAGCTACACCCGCTCGGACTACCTCTCAGTGTTCATTCCTAGTGTTGTTTCGCCCTGTACGAAGCGACTCTCGATGGGATAGTCGGCATTTTTATCCCATTCTACGACGAGATAAAGGCACTCCTGCTTCTCTTTCTGTTGTTGGCACGGGCTAAGGTCAGCATGTCTCATCTTGGATTTCGAGCGCATTGACTGATTTTACGGACTTTAGGGTGCAGAGCCTATTTACCTGCATGTTCTCCGTCCACTTCTGAAACCTTATGTCCCCTTGCTGGACTCCATGCTCGAGGTTACGGCGTTATTCGGCGGATTCTTCATCATGCTTGCATCTATTCCAGTTCAGTACGTAATGTCCTGGTGGAAAGGAACGACAACTTCGTTATACTTCGAAGCCACGCCTCAACCGGACAATCTCTCCGATGTGTCGTCTCTATCCTTGAACGGGTACGATGCAGGCGGCACCGAGCCAATCCAGCAGAGTAGAGTCCCTTCTCGAGAAGGCGACGGTGGCCGACCTCCATACTCCAGGAACAACACTATCAGGCCGTCTCGCGGTCAGCCAGCCGTGTATCCAACTGGCAATAGTCGAGGGGCTGCAAGCTCAGGATCGACCAATGGCCAAGCTTACTCGTATCCGCGCACAAGTTCTTCTGCGTCTTCGACGTCTCAACAAATCTGGCACCCGCCTCCATCTGCATATGATGATAATCATCCACCCGCCGGGATGCCAGGAACCGACGGCGCTCCCAGCGAGGTGGACCACGTTGAGGAGTGGCGACAATACCCGCCCTTCCCGTCTGCATATCCTGCGACTCCTGTGGCAACATCCGCCAAACTCCATGGAAACTCTGTAGGCACCAAACCTGATCCAAGCGGCATTGTGCCTGAGGACGAGGAATGGCGCAAGTATCCGCCTTTTCCCTCCGCGTACCCTGCCACACCCTTGAACACCCAGCCGAAGCTCCCGTCTCTGGTAGCGGCTATGCAAGGTACTCAAGGGATTCCCGAAGAGGAGATAGATGGTGCCTCACATGAGCCTTATCAAAGACCCAGACAGGGTTTTGAGCGGTCGCTCAAGCAACCCCAGAACGCCCCCCCTAGTTCTGACGGGAGCTTGAGCGACAACGCCGAAATGATAGGGGTACAAGAATATAATAATTTCTCAGACCATCCTGCCGAGAGTCAAGAAGAAACTATGGTATCCGATGGCAGCAGCGACGACGGCGAATATCATATCGAAGAGGATAGCTTTGACATCTCCTTCACCACTCCTCGCGTCGGCAAGATCGCTGGAGCGAAGGATGATCCACAAGCTACCGTCACACGCCGACAAACCCGTAGACCGATGTCTGTGGCACTAACCGAGTCGTCCAGCTACCACAGTCAATCCACTAATCTATCTACGACCGACAACGGCTCTTCGCTAAGGACAGCTATTTCCCGTTCCCCTTCAGAGTCCTCGGTATCGTCCACATTCTCCGATACTGGCTCAGTCGCCGGACGCAAGAGAACCAGGGCGCTCAACGATCATTCCTCAGGCCTAAACACAGAGTCTGAAGACGATTTAGCCGAGGAAACTATTCGGCCCCGTGCTCTCAACAAGAAGACGTCGTCGAAATCGGCGTCACGGCTTCGCCCCCCTACCTCTCGGACGCGACCGAAGATGCCGTCAGCTCTGTTAACAGACGCCGAAGGTGACGACGAGCTGAACCCTACGGACAGTGACGAGAGCGCTGCAGACTCCGTGGTGAAGCGGCGCAAAGTCGTAGCTTCCTCTGGGGAGACGAAGCCTGTACAGGAACGCCGCAAAGGGTTGCGTCCCAGAACTACCTCGCAGGCTTCTCAGAGGGAGTCGAGAGTAGCGGCTCCGTCTCGTCCGCGGAAGCGGCCAGTCAGTCAGGCTACTGTTGCGCGTAAGCCTTCCTCGTCCGTTTTGACCAGACGTACGAAGAGTGGACAGGAGGTGTCTAACGGGGCGCAGAAGACTGACGGTCCACGGGTGTGGAAATAGGTGGTGGCGGCGGAATTGTATTATTCAACACAACAGTGGCAGCATTCCATTTGTCCATCTCTCACATATCACATAGACAGGTCTGGGTTACAGTCACGATCTATTACGCACTGACCGGTTGGACTGCATATTTGCATTTGTATTATACGTGAACATCCAGGCTCCTAGAACCATCCGTCTCCGCGTCCTCGATCCTCTCTGCTAGGGCATATGTGAAGATATTATGTAATAGGGCTTATATAATGCAACTTATTTATAGATGTGTTTCCTAATTAAGACGACTAGTGAGGATGAGGACGCTCTGAGACGGCTGGCCCAACTCGTCGTCCGAGGTTTTACCGGAATTATGTAAGGCAGCTAAGCGACTAACGACGCGTCGGTTTATTGACGTTCGCCGACTGCCCGATTTGGATTTTCGAGCTGGCTTTGTCGTAGCACCTCAGCCGCCCTTCGAGCATGTCATCTGCGTCGATAGCGGGATGTATAATGCAATTAAATAGAAGTAATCCTTGGATAGTATGCATGAGAAGTCTATGGGTTGTTGCTATGTATTTTTGATGCATAAATCACTTTGCAAACATTGAAAGGTGCAAGTACTAGGCTCCTCAATGAAACATGGCCCAAGACCTTAGGGCACGGGGTATATGAAATTTCCTATGATACGGATATGGCAGCTTGCCTCACTCTTGCGGT